TGCACAATGAAATCTTTTATGACTGCAGGGTACTAGCAGTTGCTTCACAAAATTCAAAAGTTATGTTGAACTAAGAATTGATTGATGCTACAAAAATGAGCATTCTCTGAGCAGGAGTGAAACTAGCAAGTAAAATATATAACAGCAATAGAGATCACTGTAATCAGAATAATTTCAAACAGAGGCAAGCGGAGGGGGGACAATGGTCAATAAAGCAAGAATGTTGTATTCAATTTTTCTGGGAAAGGAAAGAAGTAAACAATTTTCAAGGTGGCTAAACTTTATATGGCAATGGGAAAATAATTGTCGACAGTTAATAATGGCTAACATAAAGTTCCCATGGATTTTTACTGATGAACAATGAACTCAGTATTTCAAAAGAGATGTTTGAATCTCAAATTTTATTGCATATTTCTATCATTTTCATATTATGAAAAAATTCTCAAAAGAGCATCTGATTCAGTGGCAGCACATAGCTGATTTTAGCTAATCTTGAAAACCAAGCCTTGTTAGGTCTGGTCAGAATTTGGATGTGATTACAGCAAATCCAGCTGGAATATAATGTTGATGCCTTCATTAGGAATGGAGCTTGATTTAAAGGAACATTTAGTTTATTTTTATCATATTACAAATTCCCTTACCAACAATTCCAATGTAGGAAAGATTTAGAAAGGAATCACTAAATTGACAACATCACCAGTACGATTAATAAGCCATTGAAAAAAAATATTAGATAAAATCAGGGTGTTTTTAAAAAAAATTTGTGGGGCTTTTTTTAGAAAATGGAAATTGTAATTTTCTAAAAAAAAAAAAAAAGAAGACATGAACTTACACAAAAATAATTCAGGAAAAGAAATTGGACTGTTTCTTTTCCTGATTGATTGATGAACACACTTATTTAGCTGTGTCTCTGGGTGGCATACAATAAATAAAAACAACAAACATTATAAAACACTAAATTATTGTTTTTTGACATAAGAATTAAAGTTTATAAATATAAAGATAAAAACTAATAAAAACCACTGAAGATAGGAAAATTGGAAAAAAAAGGATTGAGAGAGGAAAAGAGATAAATATTCAAAGGAATTTTCAGCTAGACTGGAAAGTCAAACGACGGCGGAGCTTGGAGTTATCACATTGCTATAAATGCCATAAGCATGGCCTCCCACAGAATCCATGAAACCTTACCTGGTCGTTCTCAGGGGAAGGCAACAAGTTTGGTAAGATTCTTGTAACATAGGTGATAAACAATAACATTTCAGCTTGAGGCTATTTACAAGTGTTTCTGGTTGCTTGTGCCTGATATGACTCCCTTCACCCTCCAAATAAGTATAAGCAATTTCAGTAACTTAACATATTTTTTGCTAGTTCAATAATAATAATAAAGGTTCTCCTTCTCATATCTCATCACTTATCAATATCAAATTATATTAACAGTCCTAATCAGCATTTCTTTGAAATGGTATAGGGTTACCTGCCTGAGCAAGGGGTTGGACTTGATGATCTCCAAGGTCCTTTCCAACATTATTATTATTATTATTATTATTATTATTATTATTATTATTATTATTATTATTATTATTATTATTATTATTATTATTATTATTATTATTATTTATTTGATTTAAGATTAAAATATATAGTTACTATTCCTGATAGCTCTTTTGCTGATTATTATTATTAATAATAATAATAATAATCAGCAAAAGAGCTATCAGGAATAGTAACTATATATTTTAATCTTAAATCAAATAAATCTGTTTTTCAATCAAATTTATCACTTTTCTATTTATAAACCATTCTTTAAAGCCTCATCATTCAATACTAGTCAAAAAGAAATCCAATTAATACCTACCCAAAACGGCAGTGTATATATTTTAATTCTGATCAGATAAATTCACTTTATATATCTTCTGTTTTCCTTTTTAAAAGGAACATCTTCAGTCCCATTAAATAATGTCTCAGAAGTTGATTAGTTATCATTTTTTTAATTGTCTTCTTTTAGGAATAGCTTGAATAATTTCTCTTTGTCTACTCGTAGGAACAGTTTGATTAGTTGAACAACTTCTTTTTGTAAACCCAACAGGAGAGGGCCTTCCGAGTCTTTATTCTGATTTATTATTTGCATGACTTTTTAATTATTTTTAAATTTTATTTTCAAACTTAAAATACAAACTTCAACAGAAAAAAGAGAAACAACAAAGCAAAAATCAAATAAGACAAAAAAGTGCATTAAAAAACATATACATATATTGTACTCCCGATAGATACATTTCAACAATAATTGTTTTCTCCCTTGCAAAACAGGTCTACAGTTCATAAATTTCTACAGCTCTATTTGCCAAGCTAATCTGACCTACCATCTATTTACTGGGGGGGGGGGAGTTAACAGATAAAGCCAACAACAAAACTAAACTTCAACGTCCTCTGTTATTAATCTATTATTGTATTTCACATGCAGAAAGTCCACAATGGCTTCTAATCTACCACAAACCACTGCAATCATTATCGTTGATTTGTCCAGGATCAAGTATTTTCAATTTATGCTTAATAATAAACGTTTTTCTTAAAATTATAATTGGGATCTTTTCCAACAATTGCATCTCGTTCCCCAAAATTATAGTTCTCTGTTGTATCTCCACAACACTTGTTGTTCAGTAGTTTTTCATGCAAGTTGAACCACAACATGTCTTTAACAATTATCTTCTGACTGAATATAATTCATCTATTCCACAATTTCCATCAGTTTTCTTAAGAAAGTCAAGTTCATTGCTAATCCATACTGCCATCTCTAAGCCTTTTAAATTCATACCCCTTTCAGCCTTCTCTAACAAACCTGCAATTGTTAAAACAAAGCTCCTCCTTTAATTCTGTCAGCAAACTGACTTCCAATCCACCCAACCGCAAGTGTACTGTAGCTGCTAATAACTATATCTGAGTATCATCCTTAGGTTGATTTATGCCTGTTGTTAAATCATCAAACCTTTTCTCTAAATTTTCATTCAGAGCTTGTAAGTTGAAAAGCATCTTTTTTTGAAGGCTCCCAAGAAGGCTTTGACATTAAATTGATCTGGCTCTTGCCTTTCTTTTGTATCTCTTTTTGTGGGCATTTTAAAGAGTATATAATATGTACTGTTAATCCTCAATTTATTGTTGTTTTCATTTTTAATATACTTCAAATTTCTCTTATTGCCAGACTTTCACAACAAAATGTAGGTAATTCTTCTCAAAAACAAAAGGAGCAGATGTTCCATAACAAAATGTCTGCAGAAAAAGGTAAGATATTTCCCGTGATAGAGAGTTAAAAAAAAGAGAAAATTGCCATCTCTTCAGAGGAAAAAAAAGTGACCAAAAATATATAGAAAGCAAAATAAAGCAGCAAAGTTCTTTTAAAAACTAGTAAAATATAAAATCTTTGCAGTAGACTGGTGCAGATGTAAATCAAATCAGATCACTTTCACTACCAAGGAGAAAGTCTTTGTGCCGTCACCTTCCATATAGCAAAAATAAAATGTTTCCTGACTCCAAAGCAAAGCAATAAAAAAAGTAAAATGTTCACAGTCCAGCGTTCAATTAATTAAAAATATAGGCCAAAAGCCAAAAAAAATGTTCAAACATGATATTTAAAACTGAGGCACACCTTAAAAAACATCAAATGCTGATAGGAAAAGATGGAGACCCAACCCTGTGGTCGCTCTTATGGAGAAGTGCAATTGTCTAGCTTCCTATTCTCAGGCAAGTACACAGTCATATGAGTTGTCTTGAGTCTTTCATAGTTCAAATCTGGGGAGCATGCTCCCAAAGAGCCAGCTTTGGAAGCAAATCCAGTTGTTTGTTGGCAGGAGAAAAATTCATCCTGCTGCTTGGTGCGCTATTTTCTGGATGATCTTGACACTTAATCCCCTTTAATTATTAAAACATCAACTGGTTTCATTTGTAAAACAATTTTGCCAGATCTAAAGCATCATTTTCCTTACTGCTTTTGTAATGCAGCATTTTTAAAAAAAATCATATCAGTCAGGTTTATCCAATAAAATTTGTTGTTTTCTATATCTTCTGCTTTAATATCAAACAATCTTGCAAGCAACTTCTCAGTATATTGTTTCCAAGCTGCATTAATTTCTTCTATAGTCAAACAGCGTTGCTCAATTGTATCAACAGGTCTGATAAAGGAGAATATTTGTAGCTTAGGGTTTACCCAAACTAGGTAACATCATCAGTGCTAGTAAGGAGTGAGGTTTGTTCTCAATTTATATTCCAGTGGCTTGCCCTGTCAGTGTTAGTAGAGAATGGTCTTGGTGGTTCTTAGGTTGGGCTGTTTACTGTTAGTTTGTTTGGCAGTTCCTTGATTGGGGTATTGTTTACTTCTTGATTGTTGGTCTGATATTAATCTTGGTGTTATTATTTGGCATTATTACTGTAAGTTGGTATTATTCATAGGGAACAGAAGTTTCATAGATTATATCAGAAATACATCACACACTACATTAGAAGACAATGTGGAGTAAACCATTATATCTGGTGCACAATCTCTATAAAGATTCATATTGATACAAGTAATCCTCAGATTATGACCACTCATTCAGCGACTATTCAAAATTTAATGAATGAGGGGACTTACAGTGGTCCCATGGTCATATGATTGCGATTCAGATGCAATAGAAACTGACATCCATCTCTGAAGCTTGTACAACAAATCCAAGGACTTCATAGTAGATGGCAACAAAATTGTCTTCTGCCATGCCTACTGCACTTGTTTGAGTGAAGACTGTGGGATTGAATCTGCAAGTTGTGCTCTCACAGAAACACAAATGGTAGAATCTCCTGTTTGCAATGCACAAAAATTGCTAAGCATTCCTTTTATTTTCTAATCAATAGGGCCTAATGAAGATGAGGACAGTAAGTTAGAAACTATGGAGTCCTTGATGCTCTCTGAGCTGATTGTATGTTTGCAGACATTTCATTATCCAATTTTCTCTACTACATTTAATAAATTATAAAACACCTCTCTTCTTTATCAAATAAAAATTTCCTTACCCTGACCTCTAATAGGAAATTATTAGAAATTACTTTATAGCGAACATGTTTTTAGATCTTTTTAGGCATGTTGCTGGGACTTTGGGCATGCATAAAGGTTGAAGTTCAATTTAATTAGATGGCAACTTTTCACTCCCTAACTATGTCGAATTGTGCATCTAAATTTACTTACGGATATCTATACAGGTATGTACACATACAATATGTGTATGCACTTCCATTTGTACACAATACTGCTTATCGAAATCTTTAATAATCTCAATCATTTTCAATAGTTATATTCAGTTCATTTTTTTAACTAATTATTTGCACTTCACATTATTTGTATTAGTACCACAAAGCCATTAAAGAATAAGTCATCTCTCCTTCTTGGAGTTGTGGAAAGAAGAAATACATGTAAGAGGCATTCATGGTACTTTCCTCCTAACTTTCCTTGCAACACCTATCTAAGATTCAGTGCAGTTACATTCAGAAGAGATGAGCACTGTCATTTTTTCACAGGTATCTGTTTCTAATATACTCTCGGTACAGGAAGATGTCATCTTTTCCCAAAGGCTGCATAATACCCTTGCTTGCTTGGATGTGAGCATGAAAAATCTCAATAGATTTCCTGTCTACTTTAGGTGGTTGAACTTCATAAATGTTGTCTTGGGAGAAGGCAGAGATGGGTGTTCTGTGAAAAGTAAATAAAATGAAATAAATGTTAAATTCAAGAGAAATTTCAAGAGGTAAGATAGAAATTCTAATCCGAGATTTTCTTTTATAGACATCAACAATACCATTCAAAGGCTTCTCTTTCTTAATTATTCACGTAGTAATATAAAAAAAAAGCGAGTGACATATGCCTTACATGTTTTACTGTCCTCTGTGGTTTTTATCTTGTGACATGGTTAAAGATTTTTAAAAGCTTCCTGTGTCCAAAATATCTGCTACTGAACTGTAGCTCACAAAACTTCAGCATGCAGAAAAGAAGGAAATGATGTAGTCAGACAACCTGGAAGAATTTGCCTGTTCTCAAAATTTAGCAGTTATACTAGCTGCTAACTTTCCTGCTTCCCTATTTTTTTGCTACAATTTATGATGGTCTCTTAAGGAACTTATATCTGTGCTGGCTATGTTTATTTTATTTTATTCATGTCTGTGGAGATTTTCAATCAGCCAGGTCATAATTATCCCAAAGGAGCTTCTTCACAAGGCAGCTGGACTTTCTTCTTTTTCTTTGAAGCTTCTTGGATGAGAAGCGTCTTCAAAGAAAAACAAGAAAGTCCAGTTGCCTTGTGAAAAAGCTCCTTTGGGATTATTTTATTTACCTTAATTTTATTTTTAATTCCACCTTATTCCCATGTCACTTGATGTTATTGAAGTCTGACAAATATCAACGAAATTTCATTTCGCTGTTCAATAGTAGTTTAGGTGTTGGAATGAGACTGTACAGACTAGTTCCTATCCCTTCACCATGGAATTCATGAGGCAACTTTGGAGCAGGAATTAAGTCTCACCCCAATCAACTTAAGTGTTATTATGTAGTTAAAATAAATAGAAACTTCTATGCACAGTAGTGGGCTGTAGAAGAAAGATGGGACATATAAAAGACAAACAATGTCATAATAGTAATGGTATAAAATCTAATTGAGCACCTATTGTTCTGCTTATGCAACTACTTTAGTCAATAGAAGAGGGACAGGTAAATCTTCCTCCTTTGCTGCCCCTGCCATTACTAAAATTGACTCTGAAGGCTTAGGGACTAGTAAAACCAATTTTGGTAAAAGGAGTACACGTAGGAAGAGAAACTTCTCTTGCGTACGTTGAGCAAAGATATTTCTCATCTTTTTTTCTAAAACCCTATGTTCATGAAGATAATCATGACTGATTATCAGTGTTAACATAGCAGACATCTCTTTCTACTTTTCAATCTATTCTGGGGCTTTCACGGCTATGCAGCATTCTACTATGACCATATTTTATCTGTTTCATTACTGTGAATATGTGATGTCCTCCCGTGGCTCTGTAATGGCTTTGCTGTGATCCCACATGCAGGCCAAACTCTCTTAATAGTATGGTTTCCTATTAGATATCTATTCTTACCTTTAAGTGCACTTCATGTTATTAATTTTGCTCTTCCCATCCCACCATTCAAAAGTCTTCAAAATATTCTGCTTTTTGTCTTTGTCATTCTGTATATTAGGAACTGCCTAATGACACCACCTATTACTTTACTATTCCGTCAGTCAACTTCATGAAAACACTACGAACCCTTAATATTGAAAATAGACTAGAAGATAATAACTTAAGTTTGTGAAGAGCCTCTATATATTGTCTTACTAAAGTAAAGGCGTAAATTATCATTCTGTTTCTCCAAGAAATACATGTTACTTTTCTAAAAGTATCGTTTTAATGTTTACTAGTTATTTTGTTAAATACAAAAATAGACAAGGATCCAATCTGGGTTGGTTATCGGGACCAGAGGTTTTGTCTTCTGAACTTTTGGACTCATGATGGAGCCTATCTTCAGGGAAAATGGAGAGAGAAGTTCTCTGAAGATGGGCTCCAGTACGAATCCAAAAGCTCAGAAGACAAAACCTCTTTAGATCCTGCAACATTATCCCAGGACACATATATTCATCTTCCTTTGTGACAAAAAAGAGCACAATAATTGAAATAATAATAATAATTAAAATCTACAAAACTCATCCTTAATTATTAATCAGAAAAAAGCTTGGAAAAGAACTTTTGAAGCAATTTAAGTAGACAGACTGAGCACCTCATACTTACAAATGTATAACTCCCTCTAGGTTTTTAGGGCAGAAAGTTTGGGAACTTTTTTCTTGCTTCTGTTGACTCTGTCCCAACTGAACAAACCTATGAACAGAGACAGAACAAGCACACTGGGGAAAGTACTGTCTGAAATAATGAAAATAATGTGTTTCTTGCAGACTTTGTAAGAGTCATACATCAGTAAGAGACATCAAGTTCCATTAAAGGCAGCTTGAAAATACAATATCCTTTCCTTGAAGATAATTTGTGAGTGAGTAATGCAAGTGTTGAAATAGTTTTAGGCTAGTGTAAGTTACATTTGAGGTTCTTCATAGCTTTCCTTTCACTAAAAGCCAAATACATTGTATTCAAAGGATCACAGAGTAAATAAAGACAACCCTTTACTAGTAACATCTTAATGTACAAAGGTAAGACTTTATTTATTAATGTATATAACCCATACATGTAGTATGTATCTTACATGTAGAAATATATATGTGTTCTTTCCCTAGATTTCATCTAGTGAGAACGAGAGAGTTGAAGAAGTCTTCGTTTGAACACCAGCTAGTCAATTCACTTGTTGAACTAGACTTAATACCCAAAAGCTTAGATATTGCTCAGTAATTGGCTCTAATGAGGCCTATTACCCAGCAGGCTAAATACCATACTCTAGCTCCATGCTATTACAGCACCGGGCTTAAAAATTCCAGCATTAGCAGAAAGGTGCAATATCTATTGGAGTTTTCCTTACTCTTTTCCATACATTATTGTGAAATCCATAGACAATAGAGATTTGCTCTTAATAACAAGAAATCGTGGACAAGGTGAGTGATTTGCCATGCAATAGATAGCAGAGTTTAGTATCACTTGGCAGGCTTTTTAAGTCAAAGCTAGAGTGGCTAGCATCTTGAATTTAAGACTGTGGAAATCTAGATTTAAAATCACATTTAGCAATGCAGCCAATTGTGTGGTCAATTTTTTTAATACTGCTGTTTTAAATAAAAAAATGGTTAAGCATGATGATGATAACTATCATCCATACTTTTTACTTCCAGATTTTCTTAGAGATAAAGACATTTTTAAAAAAAAAAGATATTTTAGATACAATCAAGATTAAACTATCCTTAATGATCTATATCCACTAATCTAAGCAAAATAAGCAATCTGTGGATTCTCTCACTGAGGTGAGTAGAATGTAAGTGTGCATACTTCTGGTTGAAACAGGTCCATTTTCTTTTCATTTTCAAATATTTAGGTTTGTTTTCTATCAGGATTAGCAAGATAATAGGAAAGCCCACCTTGTATATATGCTGAGATCATCTTCTGAAGGAGATTCTGAAAGATTAATCCCATAGACATCTTTGGCAGGTTGCACTACATTCTGAAACAAAGCAAGATAAAAATCTTAGGGGCAACAGGCCTTATACGTTTATTCAAACATTTCAAGAAATACAATTTAAAAAGCAGCAATAGCAACAGCAGAAATAATCTTTAAACACAGAAAATTTGAAAGGATAGGTTTTGTATTGTGTTCAAATTAGGCAACTATTATTGTATTATACACCTGAGAACCAAACATAAATATAGAATTCAATAATTATTAAACATAATGCATATCATAGAAGGACTGGGTATAAAACTACCAATACAACAATTCCTTAATATAACTTTTGGGTGTAACTCTACTGATTACAGTATATAATTGGGGCTACTGTCTCAACAATGATACCATGGAGCTAGGAGATATGCCAAAAAACGACCATGTTATTATGGAAATAATTTTAGAAGCCTAGAACATATCCCCTAAGAAGAAATATGACAACTTAAACCGTTTTTAGCTTTTAAAAAAGAGGCATCTGGTTATACATAGACCTGAGCAGGGGGTTGGACTAGATGACCTCCAAGGTCCCTTCCAACTTTATTATTATTATTATTATTATTATTATTATTATTATTATTATTATTATTATTATTATTTGTGTTTATGTATATGTATATGTATATGTATATGTATATGTATATGTATATGTGAGTCTGTGAGCATATATGTACACAGTATGTTATTCGTACATGATATAATATAATATTCTTAACCACAATATCAGCAGTATCAGAATTCACTGAAGCTACATGCAAAGAAAACCAAGGCCAATAAAATAGGTTTTTATGACAAACTCGTGTACAGTATATGTGGTTCAGTATATGAGTCTTGTAAATGATACTACAATACTTTTCCTCCTAATACTATAGATCCAGCACAATGTATATCCAGCACAATCACTTTTTACCCAGTACAGTACATTAAGCTGTTATCATTAGTTATCAACTTTATCATTCAATTCTGGAGTTATTGGGTTCAGATGCTAGTACTTTCCTGATTTTGCTGTCCAGACATCTGAACAGAATATCTTACTTGACCAGGCAAAAGAAGAATACATCTACCCTAATTATCAGCTTTCACTTATCTCTGCAAAACTTGTCAGAACGTTGCTACAAAATATATCCTGTTTAATCCTTTGCTCCTCATATTTATCCCTTGTAGCAACATGGTTGAAAGAATAAAAGGGAGGCTCAACCTTCTTCTCCCAGAAGGACTCTGGGTTTACACGTTCTGGCTACCTTCTTGCTGTAGTATAACCAGGGCTTTTTTTGTCATAGAACGCCCAGAACGGAGTTCCGGCACCTTTTTTGGATGGAACCTTGTAGGGTAGGTAAGACAAGTTGTATGACATGTGTGAGTTCCGGCACCTTTTTTTTTTTTTTTTTTTACAAAAAAAGCACTGAGTATAACTGAAGGTAGTTATTACTAACATCACCTATCTTCCACAGAAGAAGACTGCCTTTACTTAGAATTCCTCTCACTTAACCTTCCTCACAGCCAGGATGCTTTATTGACAAATAATAAAAACAATGAGCTGATAAAAAAAGAAATGCAATTTCTAATGCCACCTCCTACTTTCGTATCAAGAGGGGTGTGATTAGGGATAATCAGTCCCCCACCTTCTTTGGAGACAGAGCAATCTCACAAGCAATAAATTACTTTATTTCTTTAGCTTTTTTAAAAAAAAGGAGTGGGAGAAGTAAATACAAACATTTAAGGCATAGGTACAACATTCAATAGCAAATATGGAACCATTCAGAACAGACAGAACATCAGAAAAGGATTTCTCACAACCCCATAAAAGTCTATTAAGGTTCTGGGTTAATCACAAGATATTGTTAGTCTGAACTCTGATGTATAAAGGTTCCACATTGCATAAAAGCACACAATTTATTGACCATGAATCCAGAGCTTAATTTCTTCAGATAGTAAATTAAGCCTAAACACCATACAGAAAAAGAAATTCTTAGGTAATCTTTTCCTACATTAACCTTAGAGCATATGTTACCACAGTGTCAATTATGCTGTGCAGAAATCCTGTTTCCTGCCAATTTTCATTTCAAGCTGAGGCTGAATGGAAATAATAAATCTTACTGGTTCCCAGCCTCTTGTCTAGCCATTTCTACTCTATAGTCAAAAACACCAACCATTTTTCTCTCCAGAGAAAGGAAGGGAGATCTCCCTGCATACATGCTCCCAGCCACACTTCAGGGAAAGTATATTTCATCAGGAGTATTCCTTTTGAGACAAAGTTATATACTGGGTATATTTGGGTTTGCAGTTAACAGCCCAGAGTCCTGGTAAAAAATTGGCTTCATTTATAAAGCAAATTCCTCATTAGAACTTTTTTCACAGTCAGGGTAGCAATTACACAGCTATTTCATGTGTAAGAAGAATCTTGACATGTTTGATATTTCTGGGTTTTGGTCAGATTGGCCTCACAGAGCAGGCTCTTTTTATATTCTTATGCTGTTTTTCTGCTTCATTCACTCTTCAAATGCTTTTTTCCCCTTGTAAAGAGCCTCCATCACACAAAGCCCATCCATTTGGCTCCCGATCTCAAGACCTCTCAACTCTCCATCCCCACTTCATTTATTATATTCAACAACAGATATATTTGCTCCAATTAAAGAACTTACAAGCATGGCTGCCTTGGCTATCCTATATTTCTCCAAAGTACAGTAGTTGTAGTGTGACTCAAACTGTAGACCCGCTCTCACCAACTACCACAAGCTGGAATGCTTGATGCACAACTATAATATCTGTATCTCCAGCTTCCTCACAAAAGAAAGCAAGGTTCAATGAAGACTGAGAAAAGCTGCGAACATGGCTGTGATAAGAGAGTGCAATTTATAGGCACTTCTGTCATTTTAAAGTGATTTCAGAGCTAGGCAATGTCATCAGGGCAAAAGCATAAATCTGATTCTCACATACTAGTGATATTTACTACCCTGTATAAGGGGAGTGAAAAAGAATTAGGCTATTGGGTTTGATTTACGGAATGCAGAATAACAGTTGGAAAAGACTTTGGAGGTGTTCTAATCCAATCCCCTGCTCAAGCAGGAAACCCTATATCATTTCAGACAAATGGCTTCCAATCTCTTCTTTAAAATCTCCAGTGATGGAGCACCCACAATTTATGAAGGAAAGCTGTTCCATTGATTAATTGTTCTTATTGTCAAGAAATCTCTCATTAGCTAGGTTGGATCTCTCTCTGATAAGTTTCCATCCATTACTTTTTATCTTGCCCTCAGGTGCTTTGGTGAATAGGTTGTCCCCCTCTTCTCTGTGACAATCCCTCAAATATTGGAAGACTGCTATCATGTCACCCCAGTCCTTCTCTTCATAAGGCTAGACATACCAAATTCCTGCAACCGTTCTTCATGTTTTAGCCTCTAACCCTCTAATCATCTTTGTTGCTCTTCTCTACACTCTTTCTAGAGACTCAATATGTTTTTGTATCACAATGACCAAAATTGGATACAATATTCCAAGTGTGCTCTTACCAAAGCAGTATATAGTGGTACTTCATATGATCTTCCTACTATTCCTCTGTTGATGCAGACTAGACTGCATTGGCTTTTTTGGCAGCTGTGGCACACTGCTAGCTAATACTTAAATGGTTGTCCACTAGGAGACCTAGATCCCTCTCACAGTTACTGTTCTTTCTTTACCGTAAAAGAAGCTACTAATTAGAATACATTGCTTGCATGAGACATGTTAGCTAGACATTAATGCTACGATGAATCTTACAGCCTATGGAGAGACAGTATTTGAACATTTTCATGCCAGAGAACAAAAACAAGAGCTTCTTTACTCCATTTCACACACAAACTCTTATTTCTATCTTTGCAACAGGGCAGCATCTTCCAACACACTTGAAAGGTGACTTTTATAGGGAGAACAGGCATCAATAGAATCAAAAGAATCCCCCCAATACTTCTGAAATACCTGGCTTAATGTCATGGTTCCGACAGATGAAACTCTTCAAAGAACTTCGAGGCATTGTTTACCTTAAAGAATCTTTATGGGAGTAGCATAAAGCTTCGGCACTAACACAGTTGAAGCCAAAAACTGGATTCCCCTCCCCTGAGCACATAGTATCAAAGCACAATTCCCTCCTTCAATTAACAGTCATAAATCACATTGTCCAATTAGTTTGAAATGCAAGCTTTCCTTCCTGTTCTGCTACCAGCCAATTCTTATCATCTCTTATTTCACACACAGTACAATATTGTTATGTCTAACTAACTCCCAGCACATTCCGCCTCCTCCCCCAGCATCATCTAATTCTAAGAGTAAAGCATAAGAAAGAAAAAGGTTGCATCTTCATATGTTGTCAAAGCAAGAACATCCAATGTTAGCAGCGTTGACACCCTAAGAAGTCTGAGACCATCACAAACAAGCAAATGAGGACAGAACATGTCCAATTAAGCAGGGTAATTCTGAAATGCATTGGAAGAGAAGAAAATTAATAGAATCTCAGGTATGGGGGAAATGCAATATTGAATCTTACAAGATTAGCTATCTAAAACCTTTCACAGGGGTGCACTGCATTTCAACATTCTGATGAAGGTTCTTCTTTTTTAAAAGGGTTTTTTTTCACATGCTAGTAGAAAAATAGGCTAGGCTACTTGGGAATTTTAGGATCTCTGAACACAGATAAATGAGCTGGGGTTAAAATGTTGTAGACACCTGCTTTTATTATACAGGAAAACTACATGCTACTTCTGAGATTTCAAATAATTTTATTGAATTTCAAAAGAGATTGTCATTTTTAAAAAATAAGTATAAATTGGTTGCAATGTTACAGTACAGTGCATGTATCAACGCTACTGTTAACATTACCCAAATTATTTTGTGGGACTTTTTTGCATTTTTAAATTACTGGAACAATTATTTGAATTACTTTTCTTTGTCTCTTGTATGTTCCCATAAACTCCTGTGACTCATTTTTTTTCTCCAGTTACAAGTGTGAAGGGCAGAGAAGATGAGCCAGCCAGGTAATGGAGCAAGGTTAATTTTGTGCTATGCTGTCAGGAACAGATGGGTGCTTAAGTGAGAAAGAAATGGCCAAAGTTCATGGCAAGCTAACAGAGAAGCAGGCAGGAGAGCAATGATCTGAGTTCAGGATGTAACATTTCAGGTTACATGGGGAAAAAACTGTAGTGGAATAAGTGTATCTTATGCATTTTTTAATAGTGCCTTCAGGCCATAAGACCTGTGGTGAAAGGTAAAGCAGCCTTCACAAAAAGGAGAAAAGGAAACAGAAATATGAAAACAGGAAACTGAAATGAAATAAGAAATAACTAGAAGAAAAAAAAAGAGTAAATATAAGAACACAAAGAACAGCAGAGAAGAGTAAGTAATATCCAAAACCGTACTTCAGAGGTATAATGTTATAGTGGATAAAAAGAAATAGGGATGGATAAGCAGAAACGGAACATGTAATGTATGAATTATAAAAAACCTTTTCTTCATTTATATGTGTAAACAATTCTTCAATCCACAAAAGACTCTAGTAATAAATAACATATTAATGCTGTTTCTTTTTTTTTCTTTTTTTGATCTAGTACTATTCATTAGATATCTACAATCAATTTTGTTCTTATTGGAAGTATCTGTAGGACATACTTAATCATAAATGCTAGTTAGCACACATGTCTGTGGCTGCTGGTTCCTATCTGAACAATTAGCTTAATTCTTTTTTTAATAAGTGTTTTATTCATTTTCTATTATTATGTAGCATAACCCCCTCAGAGGCCGCCAAAGCCCAGGCCCTCTTAGCCCTCCCTTCAGTTACACTTAGCAGCCGCACTCTCAAGGCGTTGATAGAATGTCCTTTTTAGCGGGAACTCACGCGGAGTAAAGAGGTGGCAGGTTCTTGTCGTCAAAGGGGTTTACAGGAATAAAGATGACCAACCCCTAGACATGGCAGTCAGTGTATGACAGTGTTTATCAACCCCCTAGCAGTCGTGACAATAATAGTCAATGGGTTGTAGCAGCCGCTTGGGAAAACAGGGGGGGAGGCCCTCCTGCTCCAGGCAGCAACGGAAAGCACGAGCGAAGATAGTCAGCGCTCTGCAGCAACAGCTCGCCCTGCGAGGGCAGCTCCCCACAATGTCTACGGCTTGCACAGGTGATAATGATCAAAGTTTGGATGACCGCTGGTCTCCGAAGCAGTAGTGATCAGCCTCTCCTTCTCTTCTGTCGGCACTCGTAGTCCCAGGTCTCTCTATGCCAACCCCCCCCCCTTCCTTTCTAGTTAAAACCTGAATTTAAAACCCCACCAAGCTTTCCCTCTTCTCACTCTCACTCTTCCCTTCGCTCGGGATATCCCCCCACGAAAGAAAGCAATAAAACTCCGCTTTCTCTCTCTCTCTCGCCTTCCCTCTATTTCAGAGAAAAGAATCACATAAAACCCCAAACTCCTCTTCGGCTTCACCTGGTCTCTCCCCGACAACAACAACCACACACCCACCCTCCTTTCTCCTTCCCCTTTTCTTTCCTTCTGCCCGATCCACGCCCAAACCAGCAGCAGCTGTCCGAGCTTCCTACTTCCCTCTCTCCGGCCAGGCTCCCACAAAGCCTTTCGGACATCACAAATACTGATGTCCGGATATATTTGTTACTCAATGTTGCATCTTAACTTCTTCAATATAAATCTGTTCAATGCTACACAATCCAGGGTCCCCCCCCGATCCTCTCTTCTTCCCATAGTGTTTTCATTTTCTCAGCATTAAACAAATACAGTTCTTACTCCTATTAATACATACAAAATTAGATATGCACATCCTCTTCATATTTTTCTAGTATTATACAAATAACAATAGTACCAATTTATAACCTCTTTTCTGACCACTTTATATTTAAATTGTATTTGCAATTAAAGTCTCCTTATTAAATCAGTGTCCTGTTTTTCGAGCTCTTATTTAAGTTTAATTTCCCATCAGTATTCAAAATATCTTTGTCAGTTATGATTTTCTCAAAATTAGTTACATTTATGTAGCCAGAGAGTTCATTTATACAAGCCATCCTAGTGTCCTTATAATTCCCATATCAAAAGAATGCTATTTTAATTATAAATCATATATTTCTTATTACAAAAATATATTTATATCTATGTGATCAATTCTTTTGACCAGCTTAATTTTAATTCTTTATGGGGGGGGGGGTTTCAGTAGAATGTGTAATCATAAAACTGAATGAAAGATGGATTACCAAATGATGGCTGTGTTCTCCAGAGAGCTCCAGCCAAAATCATCTTCATTTTGCTTCTCACTAACACATGCAATTTTAAACAAACCACGGTCAGTTAATTTGCTAGCCCTGCTGCTTGGGGTAGGGAAAGAGTGTCACTAAGAGCATTAGGGCCCCTTAAGTGTAACATGATATATTTCTATCAATGGTCAAAATTCCAGAAAAAAGAAAATAAATAAATAATCACAAAACTTGTGCTCAACACAAAGTGTTTACTATTATTCCATTTAGGGCATTTCCAGTCATTAGCAATGTATCAGACTAGTGACAGAAAAGAACCTTGCAATCTTCTATATGGTCTCAGAGTACTGGTCTCATAGTAAAATAATAAAATCCTCCTCTAGTTTATCTAGGCATCTACCTAGAAGCAGAGTAATGATTTGGGGGCAAAGGTTGGAGTAAAAGGAATTAAGAGCCACAGCTCATTGACATACATGTTTCCATCTAATTCCCCCAACTTCAGTAAGGCACAGCAACTCAGCTTGGGGGATGATATTAGACTTCCTCTTTGAAAGCACTTAGGGTAAAGAACTAAAAAATGGGCCAACATTTCAGATGATGTTTGATGTTGTGTACAAGAAGGATCCCACAAATAATCTGCAATAATGAAGATTTTTCCATTAATTCTCAACCTATACAATCTAGCCATGCAAAATCAAAGCAGGTAAAAGATCAGCAGTGAGAAAGAGTCTATGTGTGCATGTTCAAATGCACACCTCCAAAGAGGCCATATGTTTTTTCCAGATGAAGAGACTAAAAAAATTTAATATTCCACAGATTTCAGAATATTATGCTATATACCCCACCAAACCTCCTCTTTGGCATCTAAAAGGGAAAATAAACTTTCAAATATAAATGTATTCAAATTAATTTATAAATAAATAAAGTAAATAAAATAATAAATATAGTAAATTTAAATATTTAATATTTAGGTATTAGATGAGACCCATACTTGACGGCATCTGCTTAATATAAGAACATGGCTTGGCCCTCACTTGTTCTCACTAGCTACAATTTGAACATATTACAGTTCTCCAAATTTGGGAATCACAGTAAGTCCTGATTAATNTAATGTAAAACTAAAAGCAAAAATGTTTGCACTTAGAAGCAAACAAGCATCCAATGCAGCTCACGGTTACATGCACCAGCTGCAGCTTCTGGAAACTCTTTAAGGATAGTCCCATGTACAGCACATTGGAGTAGTCTATGTGGGAGATGACCAGGGGATGAGTGATTGAGAGAAGGGCTCCTAATTAAGGAAGGGCACAACTGTCATATAGTTCAAAGTTGTGCAAAGGCCTTCCTAGCTATGACTGCCACCTGTTCAAGCAGGAATCATGAGTACAGGAGGATTCTCAGGTTACACACTAGGTCCATCTAGGGCAGTGGTTCTCAACCTGTGGGTCGGGACCCCATTTGGGGTCGATCGACCATTTCATGGGGGTCGCCAAGCAAGGCTGTCCGCCATTTTTTTTTGTCCATTTTTTTTGTCCACCATTTTTCCCCCCCTTTTCCGGCGGGTGCCTTACCTCCCTTGGGCTGGGCCAGCTGGTGGTCGGCCTGCTCCATCTCTGCCACTTGCCAGCTACGCCTTGGCCGGCGCAGGGGGCGGAACCACGCATGCGCAGCGCAGGGAAAGTCCTCGACTTATGACCGGTTGGGTAGTCCTCGACTTACGACCGGTTTAGTCCTCGACTTACGACCGGTTGGGGTCGCGGCATTAAAAAGATTGAGAACCACTGATCTAGGGCAGAGCAACCCCATCCAAGATCAGAGATAGTAAATCCCCAGATACACAGACACCCCCACCCACCCACAGTCTCAACTATGGCTCATAGTCCCAATCTGTCCAGAAACATAAAATTCTTCTTGCATATCATGTTTTGAAAGACAAGGCACTTTTTGATCTTTGATTGTCCATACAGTTGTGCTCTGAACTTTTCCTTGTACAATCTTAAATGTCTGCATTGTGCTGAAACAAAATTACCAAGATGCCTCATCTTATTGTGTTTACATGTCTTCATTAACATCACCAGATATTGAAGCATTATAATGGTAGTGAATCAGTCTGCACAAGGGTATCATCTGGCTAAATTAGTATTCCTATTTGAAAATGTAGTATTAAGCTATATTTCTATATTAATCCAATATTCCATTAACCCATTTTTCACTCCTGGCTAAATTACCTAGTTTAATTTAAAACACTGATACATATCAAGTACTTCACGGTATATTTTCTGCATGAAATCTAATCAGTTGCACAATCCCTTTTAAAATTGCTTTTTAAGTACTCCATCTGCTTTCCTAGGTCCCTCCTCAGTGGTTTTATTTTGGTTTTATCTTCTTGTGATTGCCTTTATATCTTAGCAAAAAAAATGTCTATAATGGAGAGAGAAAAATCAGATGTGTAAGCCTTCGGTACATATTGAATACAAAGCAGAAGAGCAGATATAAAACCATGCCTGTTTTTGTGGCACCCCAATTTCTTACTTCTGTTATTTTGGTATTGTCTCCAGTATCTGATATTTTCACGGGTGTTGAACGCTGAGAGGTGGCACCCTCTTCTTCTTTATCAGTTCCAGAATCATCCTCAGAGCTGCTGGACACAGCCTCCTCGCTGGGGGGCGGAGGAGCACTAGCAGCCGTTTTACGTTGCAGTACGGTTTCTTCTCCTCGGTTGCTTTTGTTTCTGAGGAAAGACAGAATTGTGAATTCAAGAAACAGAACCAGAAGGAAAGAATTCTTCTTCTTTTCTTTATGCTAATTTTCCCTCTTGATATTTCATCAGAGTCAAAGCTGCACTTAACTGTTGATTAACATGCCAGAAGTCACCCACTTAAAAATAATAGATGGACAAGAACCATACCAAAATCTGACTTAATTTCACTTAAACTTCATTAAAATTCAATAGTTAATGAACTGAAATTAACAGTAGCTTGTTTCTTAGCTTGTCTTTTGTTGTGATTAACAATTAACATTTAATAAACTTTGGAAACATGTTTATCAGTTCACCCACGGCTTTTTTGGGGGGGGGGCTGACTGTCATCCAGATTCTGTACACATTTGACACACTGGGGATAGGAGTAAAAATTTTCAATTTCTTTTCTCTTCAGGAAGTCCTATTTCCCTAAACTAAACAACAGCAACATGAGCCTGAGGATATCCTAAGTAGGAAAGAAGTATGGTTTATGTCAATTGTTAAACCAAATTAATATAAATGATGGTTGTGGGAAAACATTTATTTAAAACGGAGGTTCTGCTAAAGGAATATGTGAACCCTGGGACTGCTCTCAACCTCTCACCAATACATTTTATTACAATGAGAATATTGTTAATAACACTGATCCAAAGGGTAATAAAATATCCAATTTCATCTTGCAGTGTCGGCTGGTGGGGTTCAGAAGATGGGCCTTTCCTGAGAAGGCCCTGCTCTGTGGAATAGTCTCCCCTCAGAGATTAGAATGGCCCCAACCCTGCTGGTCTTTTGTAAGGCTTTATAAACTTGGCTCTGTACACAAGCCTAGGTCTCTGAATGTGTTAAGGGCTCCATTTATTGGCTTTACTATTATTTCTACTATTCTACTATTTACTGATTAATTATATATGCATATATTTATTTTAGATGTTTTTATTGTTCTAAATCCGGGGTGTCAAACTCAATTTCATTGAGGGCCGCATCAGCATTGCGGTTACCCTTGGGGGGCGGGTGGGGGCGGCCTACTTGGTGGATGGAGTGGGTGTGGCCTACTGGGTGGGCGTGGCCAGCTCTACATCATTCGCATCAAGGGGGGGCCTGGGCAGGAGTGGGACAGATCTGAGGGTCTCTGGCAGAAAGGAGTGGGACCAGGGCAGAGCCCATCAAGCTGGATATGTGAAGTAGGCGAGGGCCATTTGCTGGCCACTTCCAGGCGATGGTGCATTTCTTCATTCCTCACAAAGGGTGACACCTCCCCAGGATGCACCCAGGGGGTGGGGCCGACAGGGGCTGGTTCCTCGCTGGTTCCAGACGGTCTTGTGGAGCTAAGACTGAATGCATTTCAGCATAGATGGCCACCACAAAATTGTACATTGGCTCCCGGCCGGCCTAGGCCAGGGCCAAGGCAGCGGGGGCTGTTCCCTCACTGTTTCCAGGATGGCTTCGTGGGCCACATGAAACCACTTCACGGGCCACATCTGGCCCCCGGGCCTTGTGTCTGACATGTCTGTTCTAAATATTTAATGCTTTAATCTTTTTTTTATATTTTTGGAACTGGAAGCCATTCAGAGGTATTGGTTGAGATGGGCAGCTATAGAAATGGAATGAATGAATAAATGAATGAATAAAATCCAGCTCACAGTTATGGCTACTAGGGAGAGATAATAATATATGTTGAAATAACTGTAGCTGAACACAAGGGTGGACAGTATGTTTTTTTTTTCTCCCAAAATTTAAGATAGATACATTATGCATTGTTGTGTTTCCCACTATTAACTACTAGAAGCTGACTTTATTGGGACTTGTGTGGTATACAATTTTTTCAATCAAACAGAAAAAAAAAAGATCCTTAATGTAGCTTTGTCACAAGCTTGTCTGGAGATGATTTGAGCTTCTTCTTTCTTTGAACAACATTTTCTGCAGAGCTTGTGGGTGTGGAAGAATAAGATAACGAGTAAAAAGATAAGAAGTAGAAGAGGAGAGGAAAGATCAAAATCATCCTGCTTTGACTCTGGTTTAAGAGGTGGAAAAGGGATATTCTTGCAAGTCTTTAAGTTTATGTGAATACACTTTACAATAGTATAGTAGTTCTGTTTCCTGACCTGATCTACCTCAAAGAGCTGGCATATAACATTTGTATTTGAGCTTTTTCAATGTCTTGAATTTCAATGGTTTTCTAGTAAACTACTAAAATACTGATGGTTAGTAATATTGTAGATCTAGATTAAATAAATAAACCATTCAAACTTGAACAGTAGGGGGGAGAGACACCACTATCCCTGATATGCCTCTTGATTAACAGATCTGGAACACTATAGCTGCAGTAAGACATGGCACATAATGCCTCTTTAACAGAAGCTTCATGGATTTCTCCATAAAATATGCTTTGATTCTTTTCACTTGCTAGAGTCCTTGATCCTCTGAGGCTAAATTCTGATAGACTTTCTGTTCCAGCTACAACTACAGTTTGTTCTGCCTCTGGAGCACTTGGCCCTTAATGTCATCTATAATTTTGACTACACGTTTTAATCCGAGGTGCAAAAACATTAGGAAACAAGTACCCAATTAAAATGGCTTTTAATGTTTAGATTATCAGGTAAAGCTCTACAAACAAAGGTAAGAGCAAAGGATGACTTTCAAAGGCTTTGTTAGCTGAACTGAGTCATTTGCCATCACTTAAAAGTCCAGCCTAGAAAACAGTAAATTGCAAACTAGTGGTTAAATGGCTCCATATCAAGATCAGAACATTTTGACACTGATATTTTTGAAAGAGTAATGATTTAAAGTCTCTGACTTATTTCAAGAGAAAAAAATGCAATTGATCTATTCTCTATGAGGCATGATATATTAAGAACAAAATATGACTTTAGATTTTCAGTACAGATAATCTTATTGATCACTTGCATGCAATTATAGTAATTCCCTCCTTAAAGACATATAAGAATGCTGCTTTCAGCAAATGGATTTTTAGAGACTGAGGAGCGAGATGAAGAAACGAAACTACCCTTATGTTCTTTTTTTTAAAAAAGGGGGATCATTAAAACAAAAATAAGAACAGAATGTAAAAATTTAAGAAAAAATTCCTGGATGTACTCAAATGAAGCAGTAGTTAGTCCTGATTCAATAGTCATAATATTAAAAGTAAACTCTTTCATCAGGCACATTACAAAATATTTGAGCAAAACTAGGATAATCATCAGAGTTTGGAGATCTCTCAACACAGAAAACTCTGTAACTTCAGTTATCACAAGACCATTAACTAAATATTATCTCTGCAATTTTTTTAGGTAGAGTTTTAGATCTGTTATGAATTCTTAAGACTGCTTAATGCACTGTGGGAACGGGTGGATATATGTTAGTACAGTGTTGCAACAGTAAATTTTAGTAGGGAAACGTATCAGTAGAAGTCATGCTTCTCAACACCACCTATTAGGTGAAGATAGCTCAAAAGATTTATTATGCAAAAGGCAAGACACTTGAAACTAGTCTTTTCTTGCAATCCAGCATAGAACCAATAAGTATGCAGACTATATAAACTTATCTCAACCTACAGACCTTCGTATGTGTTGAATTGTAAGTACCAAAAGTCCATTTCCAATTCAGATTGTGGAATAGATAAAAAATCAATCAAAATGGACACAATGTTCTTACTCACCTTGTTTCAACTGGATCTGATAGTAGTAACTGAGTTACTTTTCTAAAATATAACAGAACCCTTACCTCATAGCAACATTGGTAGCAAAATAAGATCTTAAATACACAGAACTAAAGAGAGACATATTGTATGCTGAACAGATCAGCGAATAGGAGTATATCATTAGAAATGCAGAAGCCTGGAAAATATTCAGAAAAATCAGGGGTACAGTAAATGTGATCAACACTGTCAATTTATAATTATCTGAATAAGATTCTGCTTTTTTATTTTTAGAAACTAAACATACCTTTATAAACATATTTTATTTATTTTGTATGTGTAGAAATACATTTCTATTTTTTTTCCTGGAGAAAAAAAAATCTGTTGCTTTAAAATGAGCAGTCTGTGGATCACAATCAACCAGAAGGCCTTCTGCAGCTTACAAGCGAGTCAGAAGGTTGAATTATACTCTGAACCCAAAGGAAATTATCTAACCCATTTTAAAAATTCTTGCAATGTTACATATTTCTGTATAATTCTTCCTTTACCAGCTGCTACAATGCCAAGCTCTTTAGTCAGTAACTGTCTATCTTGAAGTGTGGCAAGACTTGGAGATAAGCTTAATTGAAGAAACAAGAATGACTTTTTGTTAAGACAAGACCTGGCTGGTGAAGTGCCAATGCAAAAAACGAAGAAGAAAACAGAAGAAGGATGTTTATCTCAAATTTGATTTGAATTCTGCCCCAATAACGGAAATGTTGCTAAGCAAACAACTTTGTTACGTAGAAAGGTAGACTGTAGGTAAATTAGCAAAAACACTTATCACTTTTATTATAAAGGACTTAACAGTAGAAATACTAAAATGAAATTTCATGCATCAAATGGCTATAAAACATTGGACTAGTTCTGTAATTGTCAGATTATTCTTGTTTTTTACTCCCCCATTAGAAAAGAACATTTACATTTGGAGAAAAAGCATTGAATGCATTAGTGTCTAGCACTCTGGCAGCTAGTTATACTTCCACTACTTGGTATTATCTTAGTTTGGTCTACGTAGGAGTCCTGCTTCCAGAGGAGTCCAGAGAAAAAAAGAACAGCATAAATCTCTCTGACAGAAGCAAAGGCAGATGACAATCTCCTTTTGTGGATTTTGCAGGTAGAAATATAGTTTACTGTAAATCTATTAAACTACTATAGGTTCTCCTGCTCGAACAGGGGGCTGGACTAGAAGACCTCCAAGACCCCTTCCTGATTCTATTCTATTCTATTCTATTCTATTCTATTCTATTCTATTCTATTCTATTCTATTCTATTCTATTCTATTCTATTCTATTCAAGATTTAGAAGCTGAAATTCAAACTCCAGCCTTGTGCATCCATTTCACCCCTGTGCCTAATCTGCTTATATCATTTTAACACAAAAAAAAATAGCCATTGGTCCAATTCACACTGCATTCTATCCAACATCAGAAAGTAGCAGATAATGTAAATATAGCTAAATAAATACAGCAATAGTATGCTTTTACAGTGATTCTTTTCTTACCCCAAAACAGATTTTCCAGTTTCATCTGGTTTACGTACAGTAAATGGGCTGGGATCAATGGGAACATTCTTGGGCATAAAATCTCTGAAGAAATGTGTAGGAGAAAGAAAAATCAATGATCAAATAAAAAGCTATATTACTTTTCTGAAGTAATATTTTTCTATAGAATAATAGAGAACTTCAGACATAATTGCCATAAAAATGTATGTTTTTTCCTGAACTATTTAGAGCCCCCCCCAATATCTTTGTCATAGTTAAGTCCTGTCAGTAAAATCTATAAAACAAATTCAAATGAAAACAAAGCATGTATATGTAATATATAGGGAAGTTCTTTTTTACATTCAAGTTAGGATGTGATTTATTTGTATTACTGGCTGGATTGGGCATTTCCAACAGCACTGTTTTTTGCATGTATTAAATTATATTCCTCTTGTTAAATAATCAAAATCATTTCAAATTCACTTTTTGATAACTGATTCACACAGCCAACCTATCCCACACACTTAACAGCAAAATGCAAATATTTCAGAACATCTTATGTTAGTGGATTCCTGTAAAACTAGGTTGGTTTATAAATGCACTGTGATGGAAACTGGACAGAATTAAGTTTCTTTTGAAACTGGAAACCGACAGTACAGAATTCTATGGAATTTTAGCACATCATTTATTGAATTAAAAGAGAAATAGTATGTAATTTCTAACAGTCCATTGCTGCTACTATCTTAAGGTATATTTTCTACTATACACTTTTTAAGGAAAATTGAATAAGAGTTTGGAATAAAAAAGCAAGTTCAAAATGCAACATCATTAAAAATGAAACAAACATACCGCATTGAATTTGTCATTGCCAAGCAAAAGATTTCATCAAAACTGCTGAGTTCATACGGTCGAAAAAAATCATTATGAATGTCAATCTCTTCATCAAATCTATGAAATCTCTTCACTATTAGCTTCCTCTGGTTTTCAGCACATGTCACTAAAACAAGTAAATGCATATATAGTTCTAAGTGAAAAGGAAAAATGCAGCTTGCATTAACTTGTAGATTTGTGGATGCATTAAATCCAAACACTTAAATGTTGCGTTTTGTCATTTTATGAATATTTTTATTACTGGCATATTGAGAAGTGTACATTTTCCAGGTTAAAATGTATAATCTCTCTCCCCCTTCTCTTTTTAAAAATAGTAGCAAATAACTCCCTCTCCATTTTTCTCAGCCAATTTCTGGTACCAAGTTCTGTTAGTGACTTTAGATAAGTGACAGTACATATATTACAAAAACAAATTGGGTTTTTGGCCTGAAGGACCATTCCTACACAGAACAGTCCTCTATAGCTAGTTATGTCCATCTAGAGTCATAGGGCTAGAAGGGACCTTTTGAGGTCTTCTAGGCCGACCCCCTGCACAAAGCAGGCATCTTTATACCATTCTGGACAAATGGTTGTCCAAACGTCTTGAAAACCTCCAGTGAAGGAGCATCCAAAACCCCAGGAGGGAACTGTTCCATTGATTATTCTTACTGTCAGGAAATTCCTCCTCATTTCCCTTTGATGATCTTCCACCCATTGTTTCTTGTCCTACCCTCAGAGCTATGACCCCCTGTTCCCTGTGACAGCTTCAAGTATTGGAAGACTGCTATCAGATCTCACCTAAGCCTTTTCTTTGTTAGGCTAAATGTACCTAGTTCCCTTAGTTATTTATCATATGATTTGGCCTCGAGACCCCTTATCATCTTTGCTGCTCTTCTCTACACTCTTTCCAGGGGCTTTTTTTGCATCATGGTGACCAGAATTAGATGCAGTGTTCCAAATGTGGCCTCACAAGTGCAATATAAAGTGGTACTATCACATTCTGTGATCTTTGTGCAGATCCTTCCCTATTTTGACCTGTTCTGTCTCTCACAGTGCTGTTTTTGATAGGTTGGACTATTTTCCCTTTTGCGTGAAAACAGACACAAAGAAGGAATTAATTAGTTGTGCTTTCTCCCTGATGTCCATCATCTTATCATCATCTTCTTCCATTAGTTTCTTTGATATTTTTTTTTTTGCTCCATATTGAAAGAAAAAAAATTGGGGTTATTTTTGATGTTTGTTTTAAGTCTTAGTTCATTCTGACCCCTGGTCTTCCAGACTCTGTCCTGGCAGATTCAGGCTATTTGCTGGTATCTTGTTTTAATTATCTGCCCCTTTTTCAATTTTTTGATACTTATCCTTTTTGACAGTTATATTAATGCATGAAATTGAAAAATGGGGAAAACTTAATATATTAAGATGGATGAGAGAGATAATCCGAGAATTATATACTGCTAAATCCATATTTCATATATCTACATAAAGAGATGCCTCATTAACAATACTCAAGCTTAATTCACCATTATGTTAGGGAATATTTTTATTATGCCCACTTTATGTTGCATATTATACCGGTTATATAGTGTTCGTTATTATACAAATATAATTTACCTTCATCGAAAGGCAGTGGCAAATACTTTAAAACACCAGGAGTCCACCAAAAAGTGTAGCTTTAAGCAAAAAAACAAAAACATACAATGAAAAAAACATCCATCCATCCTTCACGTATGTTATATTTGCAATTGCCTCTTGGCACATGATGCTTCTCATCTTGCTGATCTTGGAGCCCTCTACCCAAACTCTCACTCTATTCCTCATGCTCTACAGCTGCTAAGCCCAAATATATGTAAATGAAATTACACATGCTATATTATCCAAATTTTAGATTATAAATTCTTTATTATATTATGCAGCAAATTAATATTATTATAAAAATAAATGAGAAATTAGCTGTGAGGTTGAGGTTAAATAATTGTCTATCTTAACACCCATCTTTTACATATAATACATTCCTTACTTCAGTCAAGAATGTGTATCCTTCTTAACAGAACAGCCTACTAAAGTAGAACAACGTAACATCCTTAAGAAACCATCTATGTATAATCCAACTTTCAATTATAGGTAATTAGTCTTAAAGTAGCAGAAATATATATCTTCCCCTTCCATTATAAAATGTGACATAAAACAATTACAACATTGCTCATTTATATTAGAAACTATATATTTGCATTGATTATTAAATGATTTTCAAAGTATTTGTAAAAGTTTAAACTATCTTTATTCTGAATAACAGGATAACATATGTTTAACTTTTGGCTGTTGCAGAGCTATAGTGCCTGGACAGTTCCTTCCAAATGTGTTAACTTAGCATTGATGAACTTGTCCCAACCTCCATCTTTTTCAGTTTCTGCCATTTGTGAAATAGAACCAATTGTTGAAGACACTACTATGCTAGACTAGTTTGCTATATCTGACATTCAAACCCTACTAATCATTCATAACCTCTCTGTTTAGAGCTTGAGGTTATTTCATTCTCTTTCAAATATCTTCTTTTGCATCAGTATCTTTTATCTATTAATATGTCAACAAAGTAAAACCATAGCTCTGGATATGGTACTGTTGTCCTTTCCGACTGCCAACCTTATGCTGTTGCCATACACATGGAATCTCATGATTTAAAAATTCATCATAACTTAGCGAACTGTTACAGTATGCTTTCTCACTCCACAGGTCTCATAAGAGAAAATCTTAGCCTGAAAAGTTATAAGATAAGATAAGATAACCTTTATTGTCATTTTTTTACTGTGAACACAACGGCACATATCGAAAATGAAATGTAGTTGCCCGCTCTTAAAGTGAAACACATACATGACGCATACCTAAACATACTATGAACAACATTTGAAGAGATTATGAAAACTGAAGAAGCTTCTTGGATGAGAAGTGAAAGAAAGTCCAGTTATCGTTTGAAAAAAAAAAAGCACCTTTGGGATTATTTGAAGATATATTAAGATGGAAGGGTGTCTTTAACAGAGGGCCTACAAATAACTTTGCTGGGAAATATTCCAAGCCAATCAACTGGGTATTCTGAAAATCTAATAAAATTAATCAGACATTTTCTCTTGCTGTTTTAGTGTTAATTGAGTTGTTTGGATTGTTCAGACCAGTGACCTAGGATTAATTTTACTCCCCCAAATCCTGCAAAAAGTTTCATTTTTCTGCTAGCAAATGGAAATGATCATATACAAGTAGTTGTAGAGTACCATATCTGGCATATATAACTATTGTGAAAAACCTTTTGAACCCTTGTAAAGCAATATATTAGAAGCAAATTAATGTATCTGCTATCATTAAAAATAGTAGGTATTTCCCACCAGTGCAAAAGCTTCTTTGTCTTCTACTCTTGACAAATCCTTACACTGTTCAATTTCTGTATGTGTGTCATTTTGGCCATCAGCCATGTTCTTGTTTTTTGTTCTCTGAGTGGCATGATGAAATCTCTGAAGGTGACTAAACATTTCTCTCCTCATATTGCTATGGATAATAATCTTATCCTTAGTCATCAAAAAGCCATTATCTACAAAGACAGCACATTTTACAAACCAATATAATCAAAGAATAAGTTCTAGCTGCTTTCTCCATCATGGTCACTCTGACTGTACAAATTGAGATCAAGTCTGTAATTCTGAATCATATCTCAAGGCAATCAACTAAACTGACACTAAAATACTAGATCTATAGTTTACAGTATAAACTATCTTCATATTGTAACTGTATCATGATAATACAACTTATGCAACTAATATTGCTTTCGATAGTGTCCAATGGGATATTTTTGGGAACCTTACACGCAGAACATAAATGCAATAACCCTTACTCATGTTGTTCTACAATAAGTAATATTCAAGTGCATACTGTATTTAATCCTATAAGCAGTACTGAGCATTTGAGTGGTAGCCATTCACTGTCATATCATCTATAAATTTATCTAGTTCTTTTAAAATTATCTTTCATACTGCCTATGATTTTCTAATTTATCATACTTTTCTCTTCTGTATTCTGAATTTCACATCATTTTTTCTCTCTCTACAAATGTTGAAACTTTTCCTCATAGTACAGCTGCTCAATACTCCTAATGAGTTTGATATACAGTAAGTATTAGCATGTTTTCCAATTCTAAGCTATATTTTTGTCCCAGTGTATGACAATAAATTCTACTCGAACACAGTTTTTCATTTCAATCTTTATTTAGTTTGGAGATACAATTTTGGAAATCTTTGTTTTTAGCACCCTAAATTAACTGTCACCAGACAATGTGCCTCCATGCCACTAAGTCCAGTTATTTATAAAGAAGTTGAACACTTTAGTTCTGAAAAAGTTCTTTGAGGGATCCCTTGCCAATTCCTTTCACTGTGATATATTTAAACATTACTTATATCAATTATATAGATAGAGCAGAAAGAGATTGCTGATAACAGTAGGAAAAATCATGCCTAATACATTTGTTTGAGATAGAACAAGGCAGAACTGCATAAATTTGATAGATAGATAGATAGATAGATAGATAGATAGATAGATAGATAGATAGACAGACAGACAGACAGACAGACAGACAGACAGACAGACAGACAGACAGACAGACAGACAGACAGATAGATAGATAACTCTATGAATGGAAAGAGTTTCAAAAAAGTAAAATTTATTAATAAAATAAATAAATAAAATAAAAACTCTTGCACAGGTTTCTGTCAGTAAAAGTGGCAGAAAAACCCTATGCTCTTTCTCTTGAAGCTCCCTATAACCCACTAAATCATAGGATGAAGGCAGAAAAAAATGGAATGGAACTGATTTTCTGTGCTTAAGGAATATTGAAATGAAATACCTTCGCCTTGTCTGGAGAAGATTCATTGTATCCTTTTGATGCAAATAAAAATCAGTAGGAAGTTCCCAGAGATGAGACTTCCCTTCTTCAGGCTGAAATACTCCTAGAAACAAGTTAATAGAATCTTGCCGGTCAGCATCTAAAAGATACAAGGAAAGGGATTTTTTTAAAAAATATATATATATATATATATTCTCTCAAAATTTATCATTAGTTCTACTGCCAGAAAGCTTAAAATCGGAATGGGGAAAGACGGAAGTAGAGTTAGAATGACAGAAGATTAACATTATAGGAAACCCAGGTCTACAGCTGCAAACAGAATTTTTGTTTCAAATTATTTCTCAACATATTTGCAAAAGCACACTGAAAAGCCATCATTATATTTTGGGCATTTCTTCCTGTCTGCAGCAGCCAATCACTTTGGATAAGTTCACACATAGCCCAGTATTCTCCTTACAAGAGAACACAATACAGTGGCAATTTCCATGCATATGGAATATATATCTGTGTGATTCCTACAGCCTTTCCATATTTTTTTTAATATGCCATTCCATGTTGCCTAACACAACAAGTTCCATTTTCCTTTCCCTTTAAAATCAATTTTATTTTCTTTCAGTCTCAGTTTTATTACAGATTTATCTTCTAGAGAACTTATTCTCCAATGTATTTCCTTCACATTAAACTTGGAAGCTGGGTTATTCCTTTAATGCTTCCCTATTATACTTTAAAAATGATCCCTTCATTAACTAATATACTTTTCTTTAGCAAAATAGGAATCATGCAAAGAGTCTATTCAACAGCTCACAGTTTATGTGTAGCAAGAGTATTATAACCTTGGCTATTCTGTGTAAATCAATTTCCAGCACAGTAATACATGGAACATTAAATTTGGATACACCCTAAACTTATTATACAATTGTACATATGTACAATAACTTATCTCCACTTGAGAATACGTTTGTTTTCATAAAACAAAATTTATTGTGGCTACCTAGACATATCCATACTGCTTTTATTTGATAAAGCTCTTTTTAATCAAAACAATATTCTCTGTCAAACCTGACTGCTATTAATTATTATTAATTAGAAAAAATACCTCTAAAGTGCCTCCTAAGTGATATGAAAAAATCTTCAAAACCAGAATGCAATTCAATACCTGAAAAAGCATTGCTATAATATCTTGAAAGAGTTTGCATAATATCTTTAGAATGCTGGGTCCAGGGTGCTATTTTTCTGTAAGTTTTTACTCTATGAACCAGTTGAGAGCCACCATACTGGAGTGACAATGTATCCCCATGATCTTCATATAATTCTTCAAATAATCTAAAGCAGGAGGAACAACATAGTTTAGAATTGCATCTAGTGGAACAGATACAAATGAGAAACCATTAGCTATTTCTTGAGCAGGCAGAAATATATTGACATGCAATAACTTTAGGATTTTATTACTATCTTAGATACAATGCAAGCTAAAAACTTCCATTATATCCAGGCAGTACAGATTTAAAATCATGACTCAAAGCAAAGCAAGAATAATTGATATTGACCTCATATGGCCAATAGCAAAGCTCCCACACAGACATTTGCTTTGTCTGTTGTTCCTGCTCAGCAATTATCAGTTAAAACAAAACATTGATAAGATGTATCTAGCTTGACTGAAATCCTAGCTAAAATGGACACAGAGCTCTTCATGGACATCACTATAACAGAAGCTTTGTAAAAACACACTTTACTATCTCAATTTCCCCTGATCCATATGGGTAGCTGAGCTTTGAATCTGTAAGCATTTCCCAAAAACAAGCTTTGTAAAAACACACTTTACTATCTCAATTTCCCCTGATCCATATGGGCAGCTGAGCTTTGAATCTGTAAGCATTTCCCAAAAACAGAGCATAGAGGAAAGCATTAAAAGCCAAACATAAAAATATTCTTCTTAGGTATTAAATTAGGGAAGCTTGTTGCAAACAGATTTTTTTTATTTTTTATTATTTTTTTCCTCTACTAAAAAGAGTAATCATCAATTGGCATTTTAATCTTTCTCATAATCAATATCCATTATCATTTGTCACTCAACCTCATAGGAACTGAAGAACCTGTCCAATTTCACAAAGCTTACTTTAATTTTTACCAAAAAGATTTGCGAAAGATGAAATGCCAATTTAAAGTCAACTGGTACTGTACAAAAGCTGCTTCAATTAGATTGGAGCAGCAAAGCTGTTTCCACAATCAATAAATAAATCCATCTATCCATCCGTGCTTCGGGAACAGAAAAAGATTTTTCAGCTGTCAGATAAACGAATCTCCATTTAAATATGCTAAAATATTCAAGTTAATGTGACATGGTGTGCAGAAACAGAGGTTTAGAAAAGAATTAGTAGTGTAAAACAAATGGCTGTATTTACTAAATCTTTCAGAAGGAAAATCTTACCTAACAGCATCTGTGTCAAATAGAAGATTGGGTTTGTCAATCAATCCCAAGGAATAGAGTTGGTAGGCTAAAGCACACTTTCCAACCATAAATTGGGCTGTATTCGTGCGATCTAAGCAGTCCACACAATTGGTTCGAAGAACTCCTGTCTGAAAAATCATTTTCATAAATGCAATGTCTGTAATTAGCTCAAAACACACCGGGAAATGCCAACATCTCCTCCAGGATAGGGTTGTTGTTGGTTTTTTTGCTCTCAATCCAGAGAACATAATCGTCAAGGCTGCACATTTGTCTATTGGTGCAGATTTTCCCAAGTGCAAAAATAATAATAAAAATAATAATAAAGGCAACCTATAAATTAAATGAATAAAATAAACAATTTGGATACAGAGAAAACTTGTAGAGTTTTCACGATTTTGTTTATTGAAATGTATTGCAGCCAATGCACTTCTGTATGAAAAGAATGAGCATCTATCTGTTCATGGGAGGAAAGTTGTGTGTATGGATGTACTGGACTTCCTTTTTCTGATTCAAGATTAACTGTATTGGCTGTAATCAAGTAAGATTTTTCATACTTTTTTCTCAGGTTTCCAAATTCCTTAACACTGAGCAGATGATCAAATATTTTTGTTATGAGATGTGCTGTATTTCTACTCAGAGTGTAGCATTTTTAAAATGCTTTTATGAATATAAATTAGAAGCATCACTTTTATGTAAATTCACAATCATTCTTCAAAAGCCCGCTTTCCCTAGTGATAAATAAAGCTTACCTATCGGAGAATACTGATCTACAGTACTGTGGCAACAATTTTAAAAAGTTCGTTTCATTTACCTGTAAACGGCCATTTGGAACTACAAATCCTCCTAGTTCACTCCATCTGTAGTATAGAAATATAAGTGCTTTATAACATAAGAGTTTTCTATATGTAAAAATATTTTTTTTAATATTATGTATTGTTTTATCATAAAAAGTAAAATATAAATCAGAAAAACAAACAAAGAAAATGAAACAAAACAAAAGCATACCTACAGTTTTCTATATGTAAAAATCTTGTTCACACTTTAGGAAAGTAAACAAAACTCCAATAAAAGCTATATAACACCTATAATAAAATTACCTGAATTTTAAGAAGGCATTCTTACAAAGGAAGTATTACTCCTTGTACAGCAGAGTAACTAACGGTACTATGTCAACAGGTAGGAAGAGATAAAATTTGGGGGAATTCTTTGGGAATGGGGATATTTAAGGAGCCAAGCTATCCCTGACTAGATTCAAAATGAGAAAAACTGGACTAAGTTTGCGTGTTAAGAGATAATATGCACTTTTGCAAGATTTAAGACACATATTTTGTTCTTTAATCCCTCATACAAAACGGGGCAAAAGATTTGCCCCGCCCACTTCAGGGGACTCTGCAAGCTCCCATGTCTATCATATCATGAGCATCAGATTTTCTCTGTGAAATGTGAAATGTGACATTATTTCAAACATTAACGAGTGGCCTTTGGAAATAAGGAACTTTTCAGTCCTGAAAAAGTCTGTATTTTCTACTAACCAGACACTGAAATAACACATTCTTTGTTGGCATAGATTTTATGACATTTTACAATACTATTTTTTATCTGATTATAATATTGTATTATATTTTTGTGAACCAATAACTAACTACAAGTTTGCCTGTTTTTTATTTTGTTAAAATTTATTTTTCATTTTTGCTTTAATTTTATTATTGCTATTCATCTTAGTGCTCTTCTTATGTTTTGTAATTTAAAAAATACTTAAAATCTTTAAGCTTTACTTCCTCATTCAATCCAGCCACACTGTTATGATTTCTTTATTTAGCATTCCTTTCCTTAAATTGCAGGCATTCTTCTCTGGCTCTAGTAGATTCTAATTTTCAAAATATACAAAGGTTCATGAATATACTATGATTCTATTTAAATATTGGGCTGTTGGAAAACCAAGAGTTATTAGCTAATTCACTGCGCAATGAAGAACATGTAAAAACTATAAAAAACAAATACAGATTCAGTACAAACAATGATTGGGCACAGAGTGTAGAATCATTCTTTATAACCACACATAATCCATAAATCCAGCACGAGAGGATAGTCTTCAACTCTCTGAAATGATATTGAAGGGGTACTAATTTGAAGAGAACGGGTGGAAAGTAATCAAGGAGAGAAGCAACCTAGAACTAAGGAGAAACTTCCTGACAGTTAGAACAATTAACCAGTGGAACAACCTGCCTCCAGAAGTGGTGAATGCTCCAACACTGGAAGTTTTTAAGAAGAGACTGGACAGCCATTTGTCCGAAATGGTATAGGGTTTCCTGCCTGAGAAGGGGGTTGGACTAGATGACCTCCAAGGTCCCTTCCAACTTTACTATTGTTGTTGTTGTTGTTGTTGTTGTTGTTGTTGTTGTTGTTGTTATTATTATTATTATTATTATTATTATTATTATTATTATTATTATTATTATTATTATTATTATTATTATTATTATTATCCATAGGGTTGGGGCAACCTCACATAGAAAACCCTTTCCATGACCTGGTCCTACCATTGAGCTCTTGGAAAAGGAATCACAGACATATCCTCTCACAAAGAATATAAAGGATGGGAATTCTGAAATACTGATTCTATTATTAAAAGGGTGGGTTTTTTTCTTTTTTTGAAACTCCAAGAGCTGAGACTTCTTATCATGCTTCCATCTAGAGAAAACACTTTTTGCGTAGTTACTGGGAAATGGCATTAACATGTAGATGAAGCTAGCTGTAAGTTTGGCAGGGAATAGAAAGCGCAAACCTTAAGATAAATTGTTCCCAAGAGTGTCTCATAATACATCCCTTAATAAGTGAAGTGACTGTTAATATTAAATATTATTCTTTAATATTAATGGCTTACTCGCTATTGAATAATGCATGAAGATACATTAGCAGTATTAAGGAATTCTATGCAATTGATCAATAACTGTGTAACATACCCAAATTAATTCATGAATTGTAATGAAGAATCAATAGTCCTTTTGATATATACATTTTAAAAAAAATTATTTTGCTTCCTACAATGTCTGCTGCATTTATAATGAACAATATATAGTACTCTGAACCAATTTAAAAAAAAGAGATGACCAAAAACATACTAGTGTTCAGGTCCATAACATTGTATTCTATGGGTAAGACATACAGTACCTTCTCCAGTCTGGTGTCGTCTAGCTGAATTTGGATTTCAACTCTTTTAATTGCTATTCAACTATGAAAAAAGGCATGTACTCTCTTACTATTTTTGTCTGCCTTGTCAACATTCGTTTTCTAAAGTAGACCAGTTCAGAGTCACATATGTTCAATTAAATGAATAGGTTTCTATCAGTTAGGAGTAGGGCGAGTAAACATTTCATATAAAACTCTGAATTAAAATTTGGCTCTAAGATTGATTCTGGAATGAGATTGCTGTGGAGATCTGGCTGTCCTCCATCCTGCTAGTGTTTCAAAGAGCCTTGAAAACCAGTTTCTTTACCCAACCCTTTGATGAGGGTGACTAAAATTCCCTTTGGATTGTATGGATTTGTTTCTTTTTGTTTATGTCTGGGTTTTTTCTGTCATCCTTAACATCTTCAGCCTTTTTCTCTATCACTGCATTTTTTCTTGTTTTTAACATTTCATCTGTAATCACCCAGAGTCATCGGAGTTAGGCAGCATATAAATGTAAATAATAATACCATCATCATATTGTTTGTCATTGCACTGATTCCTCTGTCAACAATACCAAACAAATCAGGCCATGGCTTTTCAATATCAAAAACATCTGCCAGACTATTCCACCTCCCTTACATGGACTATCTGAAGCTGTATGGGAAAACACCATCTGAAACAGAATCATCGCTCAACATTGTCCAGGTAAACAGCCAAGATATTGCAATGGAGTTTGAACTGGACAAATGTGCCACCCTCACTATCAACAGAGGAAAAACAGTGTAAACTGAAGGAATCAAGGTGCCCTATAAAAATAACATCAAGAGTCTGGATGAAGAAGATCACTATATATAACTAGGCATTCTTCAGGCTGAAAACATCAAGCACGCTGAAGTCAAGAATAAGGTTAGAAGTGAATATATCATGAGAGTGAAAAAGATTTCAAAGGTCCAAATTCTCTGGAGGAAATACCATTAAGGCAATTAACAACTAGGCAATCCCAGTCATTAGATACACAGCTGGAATAGTGGGCTGGACTCAAGCAGAACTAAAAGCCCTGGAGAGGAAGCCGAGAAAAATAATGACTATGAATCATGCCCTTCATCCATGCAGTGATGTTGGCAGATTCCACTTACTAAGAAAAATCAGTGGGTGAGGAATGTTGCAAGTACACAAGACAATTGAAGAAGAAAAAAGGCCATTAGAAAAATATCTGAAGATGCACTGAAGCTAACACACCATAAAGGCTTACTAAGTACTGGAGTGTGGTGAAATGTAATGCAGATTGTCAGGAGGGAGGGAGTATATTCTAGAGGAGCAAAATAAGTTTATGTGGGAGGAAGAGAGTTAAGACAGCTCCTCCCTAGTTCTCAGAGTGTATGTTTAATGATGCTAGTGGTCTGCTTCAGGTTAGCAAGATTTCTGTCTATACCTGAGGAACAACAAAGAAAATTGCTTAGAAGAACCTCAACATAACTTTCTTAGTTTTTGGAGCATGACATAGAGACCAAGCTGGCTCACAAGAAAGACCAAATAAAGAATAGAAAAAAGACATGGCAAGTCAAAGTATTACATGTCACTACATTAAAAAAAAAATAATAAGACAAAGCAGATAACAACAAAACTGGCAATGGCTAAGAGCTAGAAAACTGAAGAAAGAGACAGAGGGGCTAATTCTGGCTGCATAAGAACAAATACATACAAAGCCAGAATTGAGAAGACAGCAACAGACAGTAAATGCCACCTTTGCAAGAAGTCAAAGAAACGGTGCACCACCTAGTTAGCTGCTGCAAGAAGATTACACAGACTGACTACAAGCAACAAAGTGACAAAGTAGTAACGATGTTGCACTGTAACATCTGCAAGAAGTACTGTTTGCCTGCAAGCAAGAACTGGTGGGACCATACAATGAAGAAAGTAATAAAAAAATGAAGAAGCTAAAGTACTCTTCAAATAGATAAGCACCTACCACATAATACTTCAGACCTAACAATTGTTGATAAGAAAAACAAATAAGTTTGGATGGTGGATGTTGCAATACCTAGTGTCAGCAGAATAGAAGGGAAAGAATTGGAGAAAAATTATAAAGATCTGCAAATAGAAGTAGAATGACTAAGGCAAAGAAAAGCAAAGATAATACAAGTAGTAGTAGGCAGATGCAATTCCAAAACATTGTTTAAACACTATTGGCATTGACAAAAATTGTCAATTGCAAACAGCAGTTTTACTTGCAACAGCTTACACTTTGTGATAATACCTTTAACACCATTAAACAACAGTACCTGCCAATCCCAGGTCTTTGGGGAAAATTTGATACGTGGATAAAAATGCAGTTAAACATCTGGCTGATTGTGCAACCAACTGTAATAATTTTGACTATGCTTCAATATATTGATATGTCTTGTTTTTTATTCAGATTGTACACTATTTTGAGAATTAAAACTCATAGTACATTTACTCACCATTGCATATAACACTGATATGTGTTGAATAAAGTTACAAGTCATCTCTAATTGGTATGAAAACACATGGACCATAATTTTGCATTCGAGGCATGTCTGGATATTAATGTACTAGACAATGGAGATTTTTACAAGTGTATTTAAAGAGCAATTACAAATGATATCTAGCACTCTGGCCATTCTAATACATACTTTTCATCTGGTCGCAAAACATTGCAGAAAGAATCAGATCGATTTACAAAGAAACCAGTTTTCTTCACCACGTTTTCAGCAATCACATTCAGTCGATCAAGGACATTGCACAGTTTGCTAGGTGGGAATAAAAGTAAAAACTGTATTTTTTTTCCCTTTTGTTGAAAATATCTTTATTGAATCACATGTAAAATAACTTTGTTTTATTGTCTGATTTACAAGCACTGTTAGTGTAAATGCAGAAGTTCACCTAGAGTCCTATCATACATGAAATGAACGATGGTAAAAATAAATGTCATAAACTGGTCTGGAAAGAGTCATAAGAGGTTAAAAACCATCTGGATCCCTCTAAATAAAACTGATGTGGTTTTATAGGTTTCTATGTTTAGATCCTAATCTCATAAGTTTTTTAAAGGCCTTTAAAATGCTTTTTTTCAGACCTTTTATAAAGCATTGAACGGGTAAACCATTCAATGCAGGTATCAGCATAGTGTGCATCCACATAAAAAAGATCAATAGCACATTGCCAATAATAAGAAACAGTACTGAAAATAGAGGTGCCAATATCATAATGCCCTTATATAAATCAGTGATGTGACTGCATTTGGAACAAGGTGTGCAATTCTGGATACAGTGGAGCTAGAGAAGATACAGAGGAGGGCAACTAAGATGATCGAAGGGCTGGAGTAGCTTCCATTTGGGGCTTTTTTTGGTGAGACGAATGAGAGGGGACACAATTGAGGAGTACAAAATTGTGCATGGTTATGGATAAAATGGACAAAGACACACTATTTTTTCCTTCCCAAAATACTGAAATCAGAGTTCATCCAATGAAATTGAATGAACTGAAAAAGGGCAGATGAACCAAATAGTTTTTTGCATAATGCATAATTCAGCTTTGGAATCTGCTACTGCTAGGTGTGATATGGGCTAACAGTTTGGCTGTTTCAAAAACAGCTTGGCTCAACTGATGCAAGTTCTGGGGATCGAGGGCTACTGATGGCAGTGGGACTGCATCTGAAGGACATCTGCTGGGACACTAGTAGGTTTCCTTGTCCAGTTGATTGGCCATTGTAAGAAGAACTGCTGGACTAGAGAGGCAGGGGTTAGATCAGCAGTTCACTGCTGGTGTTCTTTTGTATGTTCCAAAGCTGGAAGAACTTTTTTTTTCAGTTGCACTCCTCAACATCTGTTAAATTATGGCAGTATTAAGGAATCAGGTTAATGAGGTGATCCAGACAGGAAACATGACCAAATGGGCTAATTCTATTTTACTATAAGGTTAATAATAGAATCTTGCAAGTCTCAAAGCATATTTCTGCCTATTGCCTTTACAGTCGAAGAAACGAGGGAAGGTCCCTTCTGAGAGGTTTACCACATCCACATTCCTTTTTTTGGCTAAGCTGCCTCTTGTCTGACTGTTCCCTTGGCTGTGGTTCTTCCCCTTGTCTACTAAGACCTTTCCTTATACCATTATATAAAGTTAGACAACGTTTTTTTAAATTTACATATTTGTACTACAGTTAGTATAAGTACCTATTACATTTTGCTAAAGACAAGGGCTGCATATGTGGGTAAGCAAGACTTGTTCACATGTTCTATAAACATACTCACAACCATGCGTACCTCTTTGTATATTTGGCCATATCCCAAGGAATGTATACAATAGCATGTTCAGGAGGTAAAAACTGATTGAGGTAAGTTACAGCAGCAACAAGCGCTTCGCTTAGTATCCTTTCATGTTTTTTTTTTTCACGTTCCTTAAAAAGAAAGCATTAGCTGAAATGGCATATATACGTTAAATGATTTAGACTCTTAGGGAGGAAAAAAAAACTCTGCTAGAGCAAACTATATGTATTAGTAAATACAACGAAGCACTGAAGGATACAAACAATTTTTGCAGTTTCAAAATGTGGCCAATCGTTAGTCAGGGCACTCTTTCAGAAATCTATAGTGACACAGAACTAACAACAACTTTAAAAAGTGCACCTTCGTATCAGATATATCCGCCCAAACAGGGCATACCATACGGTACACCACATAACAGCATACTCAGTTGGGAGCACAGAAGTTCTATTACGCTATGGGTTATTTTTGTCTCTAGTAATTGCCTTTGGTTTCCGTTTTTGTATTGTGCTACATAATCTGTGACTCCATTGGGTAATTTTAGAGATATTTCCTTACCTAACTGGAAACACAGAATGACAGAACGATAAATATGCAAATAACAGAAAAAGCTCTTTACTATTTCCTATTTTCACATCATACTAAATAGCAAATCACTGTTTAAAAAACATTTATCTGAAATTATGTGTCTAAGTAAAACTACACAGGCTCCACATCTGATTAGGCAAGTGATTCAAGATTGGCTCAGATGTCTAGGATAATATCCTCTTCTCCCCACACATAAATGACAAGAAAGTGTTAATGGGGTTTTCTAGTACTGAGCATCTCCAGAGAAGCACATTTTCAGCCATACCCCAGAAGCCCTGGGAATAACAGCATGCAATGATTCACCTGGCAGAGTCACGTGAGCTTAGATACACATGGCAGCTGTAATTAAATCTAAAAATTTAACAGCCAACACCATTCTGTTACTAACTGTGTCTAATATTTGTTTACAACAGCCTCCAGCTCAGCTTCTGGAAACTGTTATCTCCAAATTGGCCGGGGGCGTGTGTGAAGGGGGGAGAGGAATCTGTTTACATTTTGGCTGATTGATTCACAAAGTCTCAGTTTGCACATTTTCAGAAACACAGAGATACATTCATAGGCTGACAATGTGGAACAGGAGTAAAGTGCCCTCAAAATACTAAGAACTAGGGCCAGATCTGTGCTTTATACCGGCACTTTCCTCATCACTGGTATAGGCCATCTATAATATTTTGAGTGATGAAATGGATAAATCTCCACCCACTCCCACTCCACCATAAATGCATCCCTATGTATATATTAAAGCTGTTTTCTGTCTTAAGCTGTCTAAAGTCCCTCCAGGAGACTCACTTGCTAGACATCCCCAGCTCTGTTTTGCTATAGTGCCTGGTACCATGACTCTTCTTGTGGCTGGTATTGCCCAGTATTTCATCCTGGACTGCTACTTCCTCAGCAAATCAACAGCTTCTTTTCTTCCAGTTGATCCAATCATGGCTAGAAAGAGCATGGAGTTCTAGCCACTATCTTTTCCCCACTTCTTCTGCCAGCACTTCCGTTCCACCTTTAACGTGCCAGAGGATACTAGGCTAGTTTTTGCCCACAGGCTACGTGAAGCATGTTTTCCTTTATTTTTTTACCTACTGCAATTGTTCATTTACCTTTTAATTTTTTTAAAAAAGTATTTAACTTACAAAACAGGCACACTGGCACTATACTTGAACAAATGCTACTTTAGTTCTGTTTAACTGAATGGTTAATTCTTTGTTGTCTCAAAGGAACAGCATCCTCCCTTAGCTTTAATAATTGTAGCATCATTTTGTTGTTGCTAAGAAAGCCTGATTCAATAAGCTAAACCTTCTTAAAAAAAAAAAAAAAGGTTTCTCCTGTCCAGTCATGTCAAACTCTAGGGCCATGGTGGCAAACCTATGGCACGTGTGCCACAGGTGGCAGGCAGAGCCCTCTCTGTGGGCACATGCACCGTTGCCCCAGTCCTAGGCCTTCAGCTGCGTTTTATAAAACCTTTTCGCTTTAGGCTTCTGCGGCCGTGTGCAAAAAAAAAAAAGGTTCAACCAATCAATCAATTTCAACTTCTCGCGGGAAAAAAAAGATCTCGCAAAGTTGGAATTGATTGATTGAACTTTTTAGTCCCACCCAGTCTGCCGTTACCGCAGCCATGCCCACCCAATGGGCCACACCCACCCAATAGGCCACACTCACCCAATAGGCCACGCCCACCCGGCATCCAATGATACATAAGTGGGTTTTGGGTTGCAGTTTGGGCACTCAGTCTCTAAAAGGTTCGCCATCATTGCTCTAGGGCAGGGGTAGGCAACCTTGGCTCTTTTATGACTCGTGGACTTCAACTCCCAGAATTCCCGAGCCAGCCATGCTGGCTCAGGAATTCTGGGAGTTGAAGTCCACGAGTCATAAAAGAGCCAAGGTTGCCTACCCCTGCTCTAGGGGGTACTGCTCATCTCCCTCTCCTACCAAGGGAGCTAGAGTTGTCTGAAGATGCTTCTGTGGTCCTGTGGCTGGCATGACTATACATTGAGATGCATGGAATGCAGTTACCTTCCCACTGAAGTGGTACCTATTTATCTACTTGCATTTGCATGCTTTTGAACTTCTAGGTTGACAGAAGCTGAGGCAAGAACGGGAGCTCACCCCATCACATGGTGCTTGGGTCTCAAACTGCCAACCTTCCTTCTTACCCTCAGTTAATCTGCCATTTGTTACACAGATAATAAAGAAAAATACATTGTTATCTGTTTTGTACACTTTAACAACAGAAATGCTATGAGTTAGGTTAGAGTTATATGAAGTGGTACCTCTTTGATCTGCTCAGTTCTGCCCTTCTGAGTGCCCCTCCCCAACATAGTGAACCAGGATCTCTTCCTCATGACTTCCAATTAATGGAGGCAGTCCATTCCTCTTTGCTTTAATAGATATAGCTTCTATACCAGGGGGTCCCAACCAGGGATGCTTGCACCCCCCTGGGGGTACGAAAAGATATTCCAGGGGGTGCGAAAACTTGGGTTTTCAAAATTATAATGTATGTGCATAATTCGTTGCTGTTATTTTGAACTTTGGTAAGGGGTGTGAGAATATATCAGAAGCATTCTAGGGGTGCAGGGTATAGAAAAGGTTGGGAACCACTGTTCTATGCACACATGTGTGTATAGACATTTACTGAATGCCAACAAAATGGCTATGTTAACACAGTGCAGAATCACTGCTGCAGTAACATTTAGTGGAGTTTCATTCAAGGAGCATTTCAAAGACTAAATCAAAGCAAACCTTTCTTCGAAATTTCGTACTGGCCTTCTTTACAACACAAAACTTTTATGATTAAACAAGGGAGTTCAAAAATGTTGAGAATGCTTTAGATTCAAATCGACTTCATTCTTTCTCCTCCCCCCCCCCCCCCGTTTCATTTTTCTATATTCATCCTGCAATTCTCACACAGAATTCTGTCTCTACTAAAATGCTCACAGCTATACAAAAGGAAACTTTGTAATGGAAATTCAGAACTTTGTTCATCCATTAGCATGTTAATGCTCAAAAAGCTAATTCAAACATCTATTATAGATGATTTTGCAGCTGAGCCCAAATAGGACTAACTTTGGACTGAGGGAAGAAATTGGAAAAGTGAGTTAAGAATGGACCAAATCAGGACAAGGCTGCAAAGTAAAACATGACAGGAAAAGGAAAGATTGCCCCCAATGCAACCAGTGGGAGAAATAGTTGGGTAGTTGCTCAGAATGCTGCTACCTCCCCCATTCTAAGCCTCCTTCTTTTCTGACAATGGGATCCAGAGAGAAGCACATGCAGATCACCTTGTGCTACTCAGTGTGCATATGCAGTCTATCCACAGTAAGAGAAAAACTATGGAATAATGATCTTGAATGTTTCTGTCCTAGTAAACCAAGAGAGATCAATTTAAACAATATAAAACTTCTATGAACTTAAAATGAGGCTAACACAACAACAAAAAATGGCTTTGTGGACATTGGACACCTCAGAGAATATGGGTTGGTTTCAATCACCTTGTTCTTGGGAATACAATTCAGGAATTGGAACAATACTTCGTATGGCTTGGTTTTGTCCTATTATTGTCACATTTGGCTGACATCAACAGGATTATTACAATAAGTGGATCAACTGCTGTGTGGTAGTGTGTTAACAAAGCAAGTCAGATGGGAAATTATCCCCTGCGCCCAAAAGAGACAGATTTGAAAATAACTGCACTGCATGGCAGGAAATAAAGGCATAAGAATATAAAGTTTGATTTCACAACAATAGCACCTATATCCGAGATGCAGTTGCAGTAGCTTGGATTCTTTTGTAGTGACTTTATTAATTTTTCTACAGTAAAGTTAGCCAGTGGAACAACCTGCCTTTAACCAGTGGAACAGAACTGCCTCCAGAAGCGGTGAATGCTCCAACACTGGAGGTTTTTAAGAAGAGACTGGACAGCCATTTGTCCGAAATGGTATAGGGTTTCCTGCCTGAGCAGGGGGTTGGACTAGATGACCTCCAAGATCCCTTCCAACTTTACTATTATTATTATTATTATTAAAGTATCTCTTGTATCCTTGAATGACTGTAGTTATGTCCATTGACAGAACAAGACTTAGTAAGTGATAAGGCAACACTGCAAGGCCAGTTAGGAGATTTTAGATTCTGTGGATATGGCAAATGGAACTGTTGAAGAAGGCACCATGCCTGGATAACCGTTGCTGCTTCCCAGAGTCTGTGCCTCTGTTTATATCTTCCAATGAACCAGATATTCCAGTCTGGCACTCCAATCTCAAGGACCCAAGAGTTTTCACCACAAATTCATCCTTCCTATCATTGAGACTGGGAAGGTTAGGCAGCAGGTAAGGGGAAAAGAATATATTCAAAGATCAGGAAGCAACGAAAGGGTGAACAATAATAATAATAATAATAATAATAATAATAATAATAATAATAATAAT